ACTGTGTGTGTGTGTGTGTGTGTGTGTGTGTGGTGTAGTATATATATATATATATATATTTATACATATACACACACACACCACATTTCTTTATCATTTACCTGTTGATGGACAGTTAAGTTGCTTCCATACTTGGTTATTGTAAATAATGCTGCTATGAACATTGGGGTGCATTTATCATTTTGAATTAGTGTTTTTGTTGTCTTTGGATATATACCCAGGTGTGGAATTACTGGGTCATATATAGTTCTATTTTTAGTTTTTTGAGGAACCTCCATACTATTTTCCACAGTGGCTTCACCAATTTACATTCCCACTAACAATGTATGAGGGTTCCCTTTTCTCCACATCCTCCCCAACATTTGTTATTTGTGGTCTTTTTGATGACAGCCATTCTGACAGGTATGAGGTGATATCTAACTGGTTTTGGTTTACATTTCTCTGATGATTACTGACGTTGAGCAGCTTTTCTTGCACCTGTTGCCATGTGTATGGGTTCTTTGGGAAAATGTCTATTCAGGTCTTCTGCCCATTTTTTTAATCAGGCTGTTTGTTTCTTTGGTACTTCTGACATACTTTATTGGTCAAACCAGCCACAAGCCTACTTGTATTTAAGGGGAGGGAAACAGAGGCCCAGCTTCTCTATGTGAGGAGTGCTAAAGGATGGATGATCTTGTATTAAAACGATCATAGGTGGGAAGCTCTGTTACATGAGGTCACCCAGGATCCAGGTTGGTTTGGCCGAGGAGGACAATGGGCTTTGTCATTTGTATCATGTGGCTTCCATCTCTGTTTTCAAGGTAACTGGACCATTGTTGCCATATGCCAGCCGGGGAAAGAGAGAGAGGAGGGCAAGCAGTTCCTTATAAAAATGTAGTTCAGAACTTATGTCACTTCTGTTGCATCCCATTGGCTAACTCTGGGTCATACTGTGACACCTAGCTGCAGGGGAGGCTGGGAAATGTCTAGCTGGACAGCCATGTGCCCAGCTACCACCCAGTGGGGTCCTGTTATTAAAATGAAGCAAAGGAGAATAAGTCTTAGGAACAATAATGTTTGCAACAGTGTGTATTTTTCACATATATGTATATATAGTTTCTGTGTGTGTATATAGAAATAGGTCTGTGTGGAATTTAGAAATACATAGATACAGAGAATACAGTCTGGAAGAACACATAGGAAAAGGTCTGGAAGAAACTGGTCACAGTGGCTACTTCTGGAGAAAGGGGAGAACACAGGATAGGGGTGTATTCAAAGCTGACTCTGGTCATAGCTGCAGTATTTTAATTTTTAATGAGGATAATGTCTTCATGTTTACTTGTGAAATTAAACATTAATTCAAACTGAAGAGGGCCTGGGGAGCATCTCGCCGTTGATGTTGGAGTCTTGGTCTTATCTCGCCGTGGTGGGACCCAGCACCAAAGAGTGCAGGAGGGGGCATGGCCTTTTACCTTCCAGAAGCCTCAGCTGGTGTTGCAGGGACCTCTCAGTCCAAAGGCCTCACCTTCTCAAAGTGGTCGGGGTCTCTCTGCCCCCATCCTCCTCATCCAGTTCTGGAGGTTTTCCTTGATTGGTTGAACATAGAGGGCTGCTTTGGCACTGAAGAAGTCAAAAGTGGTTAAAAGGCAGCCTCCTCTGTATAGATTACTTATTAATTACAGGTGGAAAGCTGGTCACTGTGCAGTGGAGAAAGCAGGTGGACACCACCTCTCCCAAGCAGTCAAAGTTCACATCACAGACACCATGTCCCTTCTGATGGGGACGCTGAGGACACAGTGTTGCTCTAGTGGCATCTCTGTCCCAAACGCATAACCAAAACTCAGTCATGAGGAAATAGCAGACAAACCTAGATAGAGCGACATTCTCTAGAACAACTGGACGGAACTCTTTGAAAATACTGCTGTCATGAAAGACAGAAGTTGGGGCGCTGGTCCAGGCTGCAGTCATACAAGGCATGACATCCAACTGGGTCCATGGTCTGGGGGGAAATTGCCATCAAGAGATAGTCACCATCCCAATGTGAATTTGGATGCTGTTTGAAGTCATCATATTGTATTGTATCGAAGTTACATTTTCTGTATTTGATAATTGGAGATACAAGGGAATGTCACGTCCTTAGGAAATACGCACTGAAGTATTTAGGAGCCTGTGGTCTACCAGGAACTTCCAAAAGGCTTAGAACAGGAGGCAGCAAACTCTTTTGGCAAAAAAGGCCAAGTAGTGAGCATTCTGGGCTTTCCAGGCCACGTGGTCTCTGTCATAACCACTCGCTCTGCTGTTGCAGCGACAGAGCAGCCGCAGACAGTGTATCTTTGAACGGGCATGGCTGTGCTCCAATCAAATTTATTTATGGGTACTGAAGTTTCAATTTCATGTGCTTTTCACATATCATGAAATAGCCTTCTTTTGATTTTCTTCAACCAGGCAAAAGTCATTTCTAGCTCACTGCCCATGCAAAATCAGTTGCCCAGATTTGGCCAGTGGGCTGTTTACTGATGGCCTGTTATAGAAAAAGAGTGCACACACACACACACACACAAACACC